GGGGGGGGGGGGGGGGGCGGATAGAAGACCAGTCACCCTGCATAGGAGAGAGACGGCAGCAATGACCGGTCTTTATTACAGGAAGTTCTTTCCAAAGCAAATGTTCATGCTGAATTACTGTGCAAATGAAGAAAAAATACACAAAGCACACCAAGTAAGATCCAAGAAAGAGAATATACATGCCTATTTGGACAATGTTTGCTTATCACGGAGTTCATAATCATTATGCAGCAGAGAGGGCACCAACACAAAATTTGTCATTATGTCAGGCACTGGATTCCTGTGGGAAGGATATGAGCTGAAAAGATTTTTTGTACTTAGATGGGCATGTTCCTTAATCAGCATTGTACAGACATCACTACGCACTTTAAAATAATTCCATTCATTTTATTTCTAATCTACTAACTGATTGTATTTGTATTTAAATATAAATTTTATGTTTCCCAAGGCCGGAACTAAAAACCCCACAGTGAGACTGTTCTCTGTGGACGCAGAATCCCTCAACAACATAACTATCAAGGAAATACTTGCACCACCGGAGATTAAATCTGGGTAAGATTATTCATACTACAACCCTTATTATTATCACTACAGAGGAGCATATCGGTTGGGGTAGACCACTCTTCAAACCATAGATCTTTGTTTTTTTCATTATTCTGGGGCAAAATGGGATTTTAACAGGTTTTTAATTTACATCATAAAAAAACAAGTTTGTAACTTTTTCACAACAGTCTCTACATGTCTGCATGTACATTGGCTCCAGACCAATATTTCAGCTATTGGTCCAATAATTTGTCCTTACATTGGCGACTGAAAGGGTTTTCTTGTTAATTATTAATCGGCATTGCATTGATTACGGAGAGTGATCCCGATATGTTTTGTTAGGGACAAACTGGGTTTTCTTCTGGTGGTACTGCCTTTCAAAACGTATTTAATTGTCTATACGTATAGCTTAAAATTACACTAAACTCAGAAGTGAAATCTTAATAATGCATTCAAGTACCTTAACTATTAACAAAAACGTGTCGTATTTGTACATCACTCATCTGTAGATCCTCAAATCATCTCTAAATTGGTGCTGACGCTGTCCTTCCTTCTGGAGGGTGGTTACTTTTGTTCCCCATGTTCCCTGTGTGTGTTGTAAAGTAGCCACCACTCCAAGCTCAATCCCATGATGGACTACAAGCTCACTTTTATTTTACTAATTTGTATTAAGATTGTAGTCTATCACCGGAGTGAGCTTGGAGCAGTGACTACTGTACAACACACACAGGGATCATGGGGAATAAAAGAAGCCATCCTCCAGAAGGAAGGACAGTGTCAGTACCAATTCAGGGATGATTTGAGGATCTACATGAGCAAGGGCCTCCACGGCAGAATCAGCAGGGATTATTGCAGACCAGGGATAGAAGTTGTAGATTTAAAAGGATTTGAATCTATTAGCAATATTACAATAATAAAGCTCATAAAATTTTAGTGCTTGGGATTATTAATATTTTATATATTATGTATAATATAGCTAATATAAGCAGTGGGGTTATTTTACAAAGGTGGAAAACCTTGTAAGATTTAATTTAATTTACTTAAGTACAACAGGCAAAGTACAGTAACCTATATACACCATTCTGAATTGTTAATATGTTCATTGAGTCTGGATGTGTAGGAGTGCAGATTACTTTTACTATTTGGAACTATTGATCGTACTTGCATATCAATCAAAAAAATTGTTCAAAAGTTACTATTTTTAACATATTGTTCCATTTAAAATAAGATTAACACTAATATCATAGGAAGAGTGACTAGTAGTGATATGAGATGGTTCAATAGAATTCAGAGCAGATAAGATTGTTACAGTGCACCCTCTGCTGGTGGATAGAGGTAATGCACAACCTCATTTTTCCACTATTTTCCAATTTCGGAGTGCATGTGTAAGAAAAGCGTGTGTCTATCTATCTATCTATCTATCTATCTATCTATCTATCTATCTATCTATCTATCTATCTATCTATCATATTGCAAATTATACTGTGCAATGTAAATATACTGACACCTCTATGTAATGATTCCAGAGACCATTACTTGGCTCGAATGGACTGGGTTACAGACCAGAGATTGGCGGTCCAGTGGCTTAGAAGAATCCAAAATGTTTCAGTTCTTCTCATATGTAACCATGTAGACAGCTCTACGACTTGGAATTGTGATCCGGTACATTGAGTTCTTTTTACAGTTAATAGTTTATTCATAGGTGGTTCAGATGTTAGATGACTGATTGATGTCTGTTTCTACCCCTTTGGGCTCTCTGAAGATGAACTCAGTAGCAACCTGTGGGAGATATACAAGGAAACTTGTGATGATGAAAATGAAAGGATCTGCCATTGTTCAATTGTTTTTAAAACTATATGCTCCTGAGCTGCTATCTTGATATTGGCTTTGCTAAAACAATCAGCTGCTGGGCTGAATTTCCTGGGCTGGCCAGTCCTGGACAAATTAGTGGTTGTTTGAAATCTATGGCACGTGTAGATTATTTCCCTTTCAGTAGAATGATTAATTTCAAATATTTTGGCAATTGTTTTAAACCACTTGCTGGACTCATAGGCATCCAAAATCTTATTTTTGAGGTCCTTAGATAGCTTCTTCTTTTTTTTTATCTTGGCATGATGACACCACACATGTCATTAGCATAGAGAACAACAAACCCTTTTTCCACATGAAAAACTTGCACTTTCAATCATTTAGATTAGTAGAATAAACACGCCATGTCACCACACCACATTTAAGATATATTTTGTTCAATAATATCACCTTTATGTGTTGGAACCATTTAAATTAACATCTACAGAGCTATTTACTAAAGGGTGAAGGGTTTGGAGAATGCAGGAGAAGTGAAGGATGGCTAAACTGCGGCCCTCCAGCTGTGGTGGAACTACGAATCCCATGAGGCTTTGCAAGATTCTCACAGACATGACTCCCGGAGAGATGCTTCATGGGATTTGAAGTTTCACCACAGCTGGAGGGCTGGAATTTGGCCATCCCTGATCTAGGACAACATAGCTGGTTTGGAAAAATTCTCCAATTCAATTTACTTTTCAGTTCAGCTATGTTGTCCTAGATTGTTCACTTCTCCTGCCTTCTCATATATATATATATATATATTGTACTATTTTGATTAATCATATTTTATATATATTTTTTCTACCTAACAGCCCATATATGAAGAGAGCACTACAGGCTGGGTTGGAAATGTAAGTAGTGATATATTATTTATTAACCAGTTAAGGATGTTGGACATATCTATTACATATTGCATTTTCCTCCCTTTCTGTTGGCTCCTGCTGGCCCTTTAGCCACTTTAGTTGTAAATGAACAAACAGCGCTCTCGGAAAATGGCCTGAAAGTGAACAATATGCAGTGTGCTGCCCTGAAAAACAGTAGGAGGACCTGTGCTTGCTATAAAAATCTCACAACAGGGCGCAAAACTTGCGGGGTACCTGTTTAAAGCATTGGTGCTGACAGATGTGTAAAGGAAAAACCACACTTACGTTTGAGTGGGGGAGGACCAGGAAAGGGGTGGCCTTCTAGGAGGATCGAGTGGTCCAGGGTTCTTGGATTGAAGTGGTCACGGGAACTGGCAGCCGCAGTTTGAAGAATGGAAGACTGATGGCCAGGAGGAGAGGCAAGGCAGTGCAGGGACTGTATCCATATCATTCTTGTGTGGACTGAAGGGGTGACCGTGCGTGGGTAGAACGCTGGATTTGACTTTGTGGTGCTTTGGCTGTACAAGCACCCGTCTCTGCAGCAGTCCTGTCCCTGAAGGTCTGGTGATGACGGCGCATGTAGCGTCTGACTGTGTACGGGAAGAAGCTGTTAAAAAACTGTAAAAAAGGCTATTTGAGAGTAGCCTGCTTAGCGAGTCACGAGTGGGGAGAAGGCTCGGGATAACACCGGGGGAGCGACGCGTTTCAAGGAAACCTCTTTCTCCGACCGTTAGAGCCTGAGAAAGAGATTTCCTCGAAACGCGTCGCTCCCCCGGTTGACCTCTGACCCTTGACTCTTAAGGTAAAATATCAGCCAAGCTAAATTATTCAGTTATGTCATGTGGACACATTCTATAGTAAAAACTCAGTCAGACCCATAGAGCACATTACTGTATAAACAAGCAATTTTCACAAAGACAATTTGCAGGAAAGTGCTAGTGCAACAAACTATTTTTAGCACTCTCCATGTGTAAAGCAGTCAATGTGCTGATTGTGTTAGTACAATAAGTTAGACAGGAAGACTGTAAAGTGCAAGGAAAGGTAACTCACTGAGAATCAACCGCTTGTCATCTCTCTTTATTGCTTTTTGTCATTGCTTATTAGTAAAATATTTTTTTCTTTCTTCCAAGTTTGGGCCCAGTAGTCCGTACTTCACATCAGGGACAAAATATTACAAGATTATTAGCAATGCAGATGGTTACAAGCATGTACACTTCTACGGAACCAGGGTAAGTCGCTTGCCTGACATATGACAGGTAGTTTCTGGAACATGATGCATACAAGTTCATGATTAACATAACATCAGGCCATGTGCTCTTACTGTTTTATTTTACTGGATTGTGACACAACACCCTCTGCATTAAGCTGATGGGAAGTTTCTAATTAATGATCAGAGACAGAGACATTGCCGAATAAACCTTCATAGATTTATTACCTTGTCTGAAACTCGGAGTAGTACAAGGTTTGTTACAGCCTTTATATTCTGTGCTGTTGAGTAATCGGCAAGCCAATAATAATTTGCAACAGGCTGATGCACCAATTGGCTGATCCTCTTGTAACTTCTCAACAGCAATGTACATTTGTTTGCAATCTTTTAAAGTAACTTCAAAATTTGACCAAATTTTGATGGTTGATCAATTTGTGAGTAGCAGATTGCTTAGTTTGCTTGTTGGTAGTCCCACAGTAATTGAAATTTACTGAAAATTACTAGGGAATTGGGATGCACAGATTTCAAGTACCGTACTTGGTACAAGTACAAATACTGATACTTTTCCAGCTCCAATACTAGACTAGAAAAAACTCAACAGTTAGGAGGCAGCTGTCATGTTTAAAGGGCATTGGCTATGGCACTCCTGGGATTTGTGCATCCCTGTTTTAATGTATGATTTGTTTTTCTATATATATGCATTATATATTAGGGATGCACTAATACCATTTTTTCCAGACAAAGTACAAGTACTAATACTTGTCCAAGTACTCATAGATACCAAATATTTTTTTAGTGTCATGTGACAGTTTTTCTAAAACAATATAGACTTATGATTTTAGTGAAAATGCCAAATATCAGCACCGATACATATACTGGTATCTGAACATCCCTAAAAATGACCCCAAATATGGCCAGCTTTTGTGAATTACTGTATATCTAGCAATTGTAGTAGCACCACTGAGCAACTAAATGAAGCACCACTGAGCAACTGAATTAAGCACCATTGAGCAACTGTAGGAACTTTTGGAAGATAACTGTTTTCTACAACGGTTAAATAGGCACTGTAGACCTCTAAGGTGTAGGCCTCTGTGCCCTCAAATAAACAGATTTTACTATGGGCACACAAATTATCATTTTTTTTGTCTTGAATACTTTTGTGCTGTTTACATTAGTTGATAATTTGGTTGATAAAATATTTTTTTTTCTTTATAATTTTACATCCTTTTTATCTGTTTATTAATTTGTTTCATTATCTGTTGATTTACAGGAGGCAGTTCAAATAACTAGGGGAAATTATGAAGTGACCAGTATTTCCAAAATAACAAATGATGATCACTTGTGAGTACATTTTATTCTGCAACAAGGACATATCTGTTTCTACAGGTCACGGATATTCTATTTACCACGTTGATTCATTTTGCATATAAATTGTTGCACTAATGCCACATGCAAGCTTGCTGTTTATTTTAAGGGAACGCCTGATTCAATTTTCTACTATGTGTGCTGTCCTTAGTGTGAACAACACTAGGCAGGTTAAAGTGGAAAAAAAGAAAACTTGCAGTTCAGTTTTTTTCTGAGGCTCATGTGATTTGACTGTGCTGCACCATGTAAACATGATAGTTGCAACAAGGTTAAGATGACTTCAGCAGCCATTTTGTGTGCTAACATTGATGCCCCGTGTGTTGACAAGTTTATGTATGATGCCTAGCCAATCATTTAGCCATCTCACAACAAGTCATTGTAATTAAATGGCCAGTGTTGGCACCTGTTCTTCTAACAGGACTTTAAAAATGGCCAGTCAGGTCACCTGTTCTTCTGAGAGGACATTTAAAAACAATTAGAGTGGCTCTGGGCCTTGTAAACCAATGACAGCTACAACAAGTAGTAAACACTGGCTGTGAGTAGCAGCTAGCCCTCCCCTTCCTCTCACAATGGTGCACTGGAAGCCTAATAGACCTCTGATGTCCCAATAAAGAGTATCTATCCCCTTTACCCTACTGTCTCAAAGGAGCCTATCAGCCCCATTGTGATCGTAAAAAAGTGAGGTAAAAAAAGAAAAGAAATAAAAGTAATGAAAAAATAACAACAGGGAAAAACAATTTTAACGGACTCACGCCCCTGGCCCCTTTGCACATATGGAAGTTTGAATTATATTACATTTGCATGCACTATAATTATTTTTAGTGTATTTCTTACTACTAAATACAGGTTTAAAAAACAATTGCGCAAATATCTTTCAACGTAAACATTTGCAGATGCCATCTTTTTATTGTACACATTCTCTGCTTTCAGAAATTATATATTTTTGGGGGGTTTAAGTAATGTAAAATGTGTATTTTAACATTCTTGCATGTTTTTCTGTGGGAAAATGTAATGCTCAGGGGGTTAAAGTTGAACTCCAGTGATTTTTTTAAACTAGTTTTTGGATAGCGTGGGAAAAGAGTGGAATTTTGAGTTTTTGGGGAAACTCTATGACCTCATAGTAAGTGAAAGTTGAGGTGAAGATAGGAAAGCAACCTAGCAGAGCAATAAACAATACAAACTTGACAGAGTTTCTAATCTTTACCCACTTGATCCAAAACTAAAAAGAAAATGGTTATACAATAAAAATAAATGAGATGAAGAACACATGGCAGATATATCACAGTTACAAAAAATTGTATTACGTTTTACTTATTTTTTAAGAACTCTTTAGACTTGGCCATGGATTCCATAACAGAGGACCCAACCCATCAGTAGTTTGTGTGGCTTCCTTGAAAAATATTTCCTGAATGCCATATGCCGAAAAAGCCAAATATAGTTGTAGGGAAATATTTTAAAGCTAAACTCTCTTGAACAGTGATTGTAAAATATATGTTATCACTTGTATTTCAGGTACTATATAAGTAATGACGGAGGATACCCATCAAAACGACATCTTTACAAGTAAGATTGAATTCCAGAAGAAATATCAGTGTTTCCCTTTGCTGATTTGGTAGAAACTTAGTAGCATTAGAAGTATTCTTTTAACAAAGAGAAGACAAGACAGCTGTATGAGAGCTGACATTGCTGACTTGCTTTCAAGTTACAGGATTGTGATCTTGATATTTTAGGTCACTTATCTGGAGCAAGTATTGAGGTCAGCAGGGACATCTCAGAACAGTGAGGGATCTAATTTAAATTATGTGGCCTAGAGTGTGGTAAATTGTGGGCATAGTAAACTGTAAGTCTATTTTCATGGGATGAAGTTAAATCAGACAGAGCCTCAGTAAAAACAGGGGAAAAGTAGGCATGCTTTAGAAAAGTGGGAGCATATACACTGCCTGGCCCAAAAAAGTCACCACCTGGATTTAGCTCAGCAAATAGGTAAGACCCTTCAATTGGATAATTACTTCAGTAATCAATATGTTTCATCTGGCAACAAAAGAGGTCAACTGCCTACCTGAATATACTGAATGACCAGGTTTTTCCATCAATGGATTATTTTCTTCCTTGATGGCATGGACATATTCCAAGATGACAATGCCAGGGTTCATCGGGCTCAGATAGTGAAAGAGTGATTCAGAGAGCATGAAACATCATTTTCACACATGTATTGGCCACCACAGAGTCCAGACCTTAACCCCATTGAGAATCTTTGGGATGTGCTGGAGAAGACTTTATACAGTGGTCCGACTCTCCCATCATCACTACAAGATCTTGGTGAAAAATGAATACAACTCTGGATGGAAATAAATGTTGTGGCATTGCATACGCTTATCAAAACAATGCCACAGTGAATGCATGCCGTAATTAAAGCTAAATAATGAAATATTAGAGTGTGTAACTTTTTTTGGCCAGGCAGTGTAAATGGTTATCAGCCATAGGCAGCATAACACCCTCCACAACAAGCCCCCATACACACCTGAGCATTTTGTCACTTGCTGTCACTTGCTTGAAGCTTGAAAAATCATAAGCTTCTTTTGGGGCAGAGTTGCATGTTTTTGGACATATAGAGTTCAGACTGAACTGTTCAGTGGGTATACCTGAGAAATAAACATTTTTCGCACAATTTTGCACCAAACAACAGCCTCCTCCTGCTAGTAACTAACTTTCCATTGGCTAAAACAATGGACCTAAAATCACCTGGAAAACTTGCTGTAAAAATGTATAAAAAATACTTCTAAATTTCCTGGAATATGCTCAGGTCAGGTGTGAATGCAGACTAAGAAGGATAACACCAAAATATAACACCCTCACCACAAACAACCATCAGTACAATAGCACCAAAGGATAATATTATCCAACTCCTTTTATATCTGTGTCCCCTATATAAAATGAATTGCATTCATTTTGTAGCTTTTATTTTTGTTTGTGTTTACCCTTGTGGCTTTCTGTACATGTCAACATGCGGTATTGATGATCTGAATATATTTTCCTATCCATAGAAGTAAGCCTGGGGTTGTGTCAAAAGCATTTCTTTATTGCCCATTCACACCTTGGCGTCTTGGTGCATTGGGGTGCCATTGAACATTTTTGGCATCGCAGTGCTCTGATGTGTGTAATGAGCCCTATTTCCAAGCTCAAATATTCAATTTCACATAATTGAGAAGAAAAATGTGCAGAAAAATATCTAATAAATCTCTTCTAACATCAAAATGTCTTCATAGGTTAAAGTTGGATAACACTTATAGTCCACAGTGTATTACCTGCAACCTGCATTCTGACAGATGCCAGCACTTCTCAGTGTCCTTTAGTACCAATGGAAAGTTTTATGCCTTGTACTGCAATGGTGAGTATAGGTATGTTTTTTGTCTAGAATACGGAGAATGGTTTCATTGTTTACAGTTTGGATACATTCTGTAAAAGTCTACAGGCCGAGATACAATTTTGTTCTTTTTTTTTCATCCTCCAACCTTTAATATAATTCCAATTAATATAAAAATGTCCACATAATTCCCCCCAAACCAACAATTTTTAAAGCATATGTAAACCCAATCACCAAAATCTCATGTAAGCTTTAACATGTATTGTATTTAAAAACACATGTTCAATATCTTAAAATCTGCAGCTAAAATTTGTTGAGGTGGCAACGCTCTTTCCATGTCTCCCAATTCTGCATTGTTTCCCTGTCACACTGCATTCAAATGAAGACTACAAGTAGCCAAAAACATGATGCAGGCATAGTCCAGTATTGTCCCCATTAGGCCCTAAGAAATGCCATGCAGCCATTGCTGGAGTGCATGTTGATAGATTGTGACTGCAAAGGGGAAGCAGGAAATCAAAAGTAATGAGAGGGAACAAATCATAATTTGATGATTAAATGACACACGGTGCTTTAGCAAACTAAATGTCATTCAGTGAGGAGTTTTATCTACTTAGAACATCTGCTATCTATGTAGAACTTGCTAATGTTACCAGGGGCTGGCATTGTAACCATTAATACACACTTGTCCACAGGACCATTCCCATAATGAGGCAGCCAGAGTCTGTCAGTGAGCTGGACACAGGACACCAGACAGAGCAGCTGACAGCTCAGTCTGGCTA